GATGGTGACAACTGAAAACGATCTGTTCTTCCTCACGCCCATTCCAATCGGAGCCTGCAGGCCTTTGGAGCGTATGATTGTGTACCTAATTGTCAGTACTGTGTCGTGGCGATGGGTAGGACTGGTGGTGAGCAGGGCGGGCCCCGTTGCAGAGTTGGCGACGACCGGTGCTGCCTGTCCCGCACCGCTGTACCAACCGGGCGTCATCACCGGCCCGCCGCCGGCCGACGGCGCACCGCCGGGCGACAGGTGAGCAGCTGCCAGCCCTGCCACTGCACTGAGGCTCAGCTGCAGGTGCGGCCGCCAGCGTCACTGCCGCACCATATAACATCGGCTCGTCTCCTTCAGTGGTGTCATGGCCACACTATCGGCCCTGGTGACGCCCTGTTGTCTCCGTTAGTAATGTACTGACCACACTATCGGCCCTGGTAACGCCCTTATGTCTCCGTTAGTGATGTGCTGTTCTCGCTGTCTGTCAATGGTGTGCTGGTCATGCCATAGGCCTTGGTGCCATCCTGTCTCCGTCATTGGGTGTGCTGGCCACGCTGTCTCTATCGGTGGTGTGCTGGCCACACCGTCGGCCCTGGTGACCTTCGTCGGCCTTCCTGTCTCCGTCGGCCTTCCTGTCTCCGACAGTGGTGTGCTGGTCTCGCTGTGTCAGTGGTGTGCTGGCCACTCCGTCTGACCTGATGACGCCCACCAGCTTCTTCCAGTGGTGCGCTGGCCACTCCATCTGCCCTGATGACGCCCACCAGCTTCTTCCAGTGGTGTGCTGGCCACGCCGTCTGCCCTGATGACGCCCACCAGCTCTTCCAGTGGTGTGCTGGCCACGCCGGTCGGCCTGGTGACGCCCTCCTGTTGTGCCAGAAGTGTGCTGGCCGCGACGTCGGTCCTGGTTGACGCCCTCCTGTTCCTGTCAGTGGTGTGCTGCCCACGCCGTCGGCCTGGTGACGCCCTCCTTTTCGTGCCAGTAGTGTGCTGCCCATGCCGTCGGCCCTGGTAAGGCCCTCCTGCTCCTGTCAGTGGTGTGCTGGCCACGCCGTCGGCCCTGGTAACGCCACTCCATGCTCCTGTCAGTGGTGTGCTGGCCACGCCGTCGGCCTGGTTGACACCCTCCTGGTCCTGTCAGTGGTGTGCTGGCCACGCCGTCGGCCCTGGTGACGCCCTCCTGGTCCTGTCAGTGGTGTGCTGGCCACGCCGTCGGCCCTGGTGACAACCCTCCTGGTCCTGTCAGTGGTGTGCTGGCCACGCCGTCGGCCCTGGTGACGCCCTCCTGGTCCTGTCAGTGGTGTGCTGGCCACGCCGTCGGCCCTGGTGACGCCCTCCTGCTCCTGTCAGTGGTGTGCTGGCCACGCCGTCGGCCCTGGTGACGCCCTCCTGCTCCTGTCAGTGGTGTGCTGGCCACGCCGTCGGCCCTGGTGACGCCCTCCTCTCCTGTCAGTGGTGTGCTGGCCACGCCGGCGGACTGCGGGGTCACCGTCGACTACGCGAAGACGCCGATGGCTGGGCCGGCGGCAGTGGTGGCCGGCGGAAGCGATCCGGGTGACGGTTGGCTGGGCTGGCTCAAGGACACTGTCCAGAAGAGTGAGGTGCTAACGAAGGTGGCCGAGCGGGCGCGCACCTCCATGGATACCGTGATCACCACGCTTGGACCCCTCAGATGCGGGACCTGATCCGTGAGTACCCCGCCATCAGCGCAGGCGTCATGACGGCTCCACGGACCGGCTACAGTTCATGTGCCCGTCCCTGATTGTCTGGAGGTGACCGCTCAGACTGACGTGGCATGCTGAGGGGCCGTGATCGTCTCTGCAGTCCAGAGATGTCTGGCTACACCTAGGTCTAGATACAGCCGTTACCAAACGGTAGATAGGTTTATTCAAATAGTCCCTGCAAAATACGTAAAGCAAATGCCACCTTTTCACTAGTCAAGGTAATATATGGCGCCATCGCTTCCTCTGAAAGTGGAGAACAGCGAACATACAGTGCCAAGCCGAGCGGAATCCCAGAAGCCATGGAGGTGTTTATTTTAAGCAGTCAGGTAACACAATTTGATGGTAATCCAGTCAATACATCTGGGTAAAAAAGATGAATCGCTGACAGCATGTGTCCTAAGTTAGTTTCCCATGCATGATCCGAACGCGCATTCTTATTGTACACGCCACATTACTGACCTATTCCAGGCCCAATCGACGTCACTGACAGGAGGTACCTGGTCTGGCACATTCATTAGAGTTGAGTTCCTGTAAGGGGTATGCGCAGAACTCGAGTGTAGCATTGCTTTTAAACACCGACGATGAAAACAGTCACCCGGTTCATATGCACGGCGCTTAACAAAGCAATCAAATTTGCTCGCTGATTGGTAGCCTGTCTAGTTGGGGTGGGCGTCGCCCGTGTTGCTTTCTAAAAGACAGGGAGACTCCTGGAAATTCCTGTTGTACAAGGGGAGCACATCTTCCGATTTCGTCTAAGAAGCTAATTAATAACATCGTGGCATTTCTGAAGTTCAATGCAACTCAGCCATCTACGTCACGGTGATATATGACTTCAAAAAGGTCGTCATCTCATGGCCCTACCGGGCAATGCCACTGTAATTTATCAGAGATGAATGTCTCCATTACCTTCCACGTTTTTCTGGAAGGAAAGGAAAGCACATAAGATCTATTCCATTGCGTGTATGCAGCCCATATATGCTTTGCATCATGAGCTTTGGTACCATTTACATACACATCGTGAAGAAGCTAAGCTGCGCTCGGATTTATCAAGCAACATAAAAAAGCTGACTTCCGCTGTGATTTTTCACAAAATACGCACACACACGCAAGCACGCACGTAACGCACACACGCACGCACGCCACGCACGCACGAGCCCAGGAAATATGTCAAAGTATGATCACGAGGACGATAAAGATATTCCACAGGGGGTTTTTGAGGCTGGCCAGTGGCAATGGTGTCATGTATATTTGTGTCTCCAACGCCGTTTACACTCTGCGTGTAAGCACCAGGTGGCCGTGTCCGGCGCCCCCGCTGGGTGGGTAACAAAAGTGGTAGACAGGTGGGCGTAACCCGAAAGAGGGGGCGAATTTAATGAGTACCATTGTAGAACAAAAAGCGGCTCCACGTGCCACCGGAGGTTAAAATCACCCACATGGAGGGAAGCGATCATGGAGTACACTCGACGCCGGCAGTGGTCAGGGGAGTGGGTGTCATCAAGGGGAGGGGAACGGAGGCAAGCGGGTCGACAGATGTTGTGACATTCCGGAGCGGTTTGCTAGCGGAGGGGGAATGGCCAACAAGGTGGAAGGGATCGTGCGGGTTCCCAATCGTTGTCGCTCAAATACGCGGGGTCGTTTTCGATTCCAAATTCGTTGCATTAGCGACGCAGTACTTGTGCTTGAATGTTACCGAGCTATCATATCAACTAAAATACATTGTCTTTGTTCAAATGAACATCGGCTGCACTGTAACAGGCTAAAAAAGGTAGGCGCATAGCCCTAATACCATTTGAATTTCCATTTAATTCAAGTGTGCTTGAATGCATCGTCTTCGTTTTCGATGAGCAAGCAAACGGTGCATTCGTTGCGCTTGCACAAGTGACGCAATCGCAGAACCGGAACCGGCATATCCCTTAAATCAGGAATCTCCCACACCACAGATAAATATAAAGGAATTGACTATTGTCTGGAGATTTTGGCAATTAGGGCAGGTAAATATGAGACAGGGACTGTACGTTGTAGGTCATGCGCTCCAAATCGGGAATGGGATTTTCTCCATAGGAGAGTATACTAGAGTCTCTGGAGGCATTGAGATGTATTCAGGGATCTCTGAGTCAGGAAAGGTAGTCATCCAGGCAACGCCAACAGGTCGGCACTGTGTACAAGTGATGTTGCACAAGTGCTGTGGCTACATGTACAGCCATGCACCATATGCAGCAAAACGAAGTTGTATTGTGTAATAGCTAAACCCAGGGGTAGTTAACAGCTCACATTAAGTTTTCACACACGAACGATATATCTGGAGTGATTAATTCTGTGGCTGTCTGTGCTGCCCGAATGCAACCGCTGTGGAACATTCCTTTGATCAATCAGCCCTTGTTATGATCCGGTTCATCATGTCCCCTTTACATAAACATTGTCAGAGACCTTATTTCGTATTAATTTCATATGGTCCAAAACTGGGATAACCGGCAACAAAACGCCATCATTTCTCACCAGGCCTATGGAAACAGTCGATAAAATGTGCTGTTGAAGTTTGTTTTGTTGCATACGATTGTGCCATTTCACGGCTTCTAATGTGGTTTTATATATCACCTAAGGTTGATGACGAATAATCACATGATGACGAAAACATGCTTGACAACACCTACTTATTATCTTGGCAGACCTGATATTTTTGCTCCTGTTCGCCCCCCCCCCCTCCCCCCCCCCATTTTCGTACAGTTCAGATCTAGTACCAAAGCAGGTCCTTGAGTGATTTCTGTTGGGAAAAGTGGGAAAAGTAGGCAAAAAAACGCATGATGTAATGACTTAAGTTAAGTTTACGTTAAACACAACCAGCACCTAAGCATTTGAACGAGTCACCGCTTAGAAGAACCGCTTACACTGCTCGGAGACTCGTAACCTGTCGCGCTGATTTTCCTGGGCATTGCAATACCTGATCACAGAGTTGTGACAAAATGAGGTGTTTTGTTATCGACAACCACTATGGTTTCGTGCCGCACGTGGGACAGATCATAAGTATACACGGGCATCGTAATTGGTCTGACACACTAGAAACATACCGTACGTAAATCTGTTCTTGTAAACATTGTCTGGGCGTGTCGGTCGTCGCTTCTACGATCGATGCTGCATATCGCTGTAAGAGGCCTGTAACGTCACGCAGCTTTACAAAGACAAAAATTGCTAACATTAAGATGTTCGAGAGTTAGCAGTGACAGGCGAAAACACGGCGGCAACAGTAACGTCTTGAAGTACGTTATTTGGCTTGACGCCCACAGTCTTGTCAAGTATCGTAAAATACATGATTCACGCAGCCGTGACCACAGGCCGACCAGAACAGATCGCTGGCACTGTCGGCGACGCAGCACAATGCCAGTGCTAGACTCGAGACGTCATCTGACACGTTTTACCGAGAATGTTTACGGATAAGGGCTGGCACCACCTTTGCTACCGTGAAGTGCAGGAGTGCGATCGGCCTGCATTTATTGTAAGCCTGCGTAACTTAACATACCAGTGGAAGAGAGACCTAGTGCGTTTGAAATTTGCGGCCGTTGATTCGTGCTATGTGTGAGCGTATTGTTGATTACGTGAGCTGTTCAGTGCATTAGCGAGGAACATTAGTCACACAGATAAATAAGACAGTTGTATTAGCCTTATTCCTCGGAAAACCAGAAGAATGGAGATAAAGTTAGGTTGAAATTTTGGCAACATGCCTTTCTCGAAACAGCAACAAAAGTGAATTCAAAAGTGCCTGCCGATGATCCTGCCCATTTTTTTTTAGTTTTGTTTTACTCAATTTTTAGTTTTGTTTTTGGAAGAGCAAGCCATAGTTTTTACAGGACACCAACATCCAGGGGATTTAACAAAGAGCGATTGCCAGCCATTACCAAGACACAGTGCCTGTCTAGGAGTTAGAATGCCCGAACATACGTGTACATGCAAACGAGTTCAAGCAAATGGGCATCACGCATCACGCTTCATTCGAACATGCAAGCAAGTTGAAGTAAACAGGCACCACACACCGCACACCAACTATACATGCAAACGATTTCAATTGAACAGGCATCGCACACCACGTGTCAGGCATCACTTACACATGTAAACGATTTCAAGCTAGCACACATCACACATAAAGGCACATATCACGTTCGCATAATTGGCCATGATGAGCCTTGTGCGTTAATATTTGTTCGCCGACTTTTTATAAGAATAAGTGCACTTATTTTCCTATCTGTGTGGTCCCGTGCTGTGTAGGTGACTTTGAGCTAAAAGAGGCATAGGATCCATACTCGATTGCCTCGATTTCCCTCGATACCCTCCATTTCAGCCTGAGCGTGTTTTGCCAAAAATGGTCACCGAAAGGGGTATTCCCTGTTTTGTTTTTAGCGTCTCGCAGGTGTCCATTATATCTCAAACGAATGGGGCGCATGGGCTTCCTGACATAGACCACGTCCCTCCCATGTTTTTCACACATTTTACACTTGATTTCGTAAATCACGTTGTTTGTGTGCAAGCCCCTTGAAACCCAGAACTGCATAAATGACATCTGTTGCCACCCGAACATTTAGGCTTCAAGATGGAAGATTTCACCAGAGACTTTTTAAGCTTGCTGTCGTTCGTCCCAGCTATGCGCACGCGCAGTTTTGATTTGTTAACGATGTGTTCGATTTCCCAAAGCAAATGCTCATCTATGTAAGGTAGCGATAAGAATCCGTCTTCCGATAGGACGTGTTCCCGCCTCCCACCACCCATCCCCCACGCACTCGATACTTTTTTTACTTCTTCCAACATTCTGCCTAAAAGTTGCGGAAAATATCCGTTACCCAACAACAAAGCTCATATTTTGCTTATGCTCTTTCTTTCCTTTACTACTTGATGAGTTGTTTAGAGCCCTATGGAACATGTTACGAATTATGTTGTGCTTAGTGGAAGTTGGATGCGTAGATGTGCAGTGCAAA